TTTTTAAGTAATGGCCCCTGGGACCAGCAGATGGTGTAATGGTTACATTGCTGGACTCCCACATAGTCGACTATGGTTCAAGTCCCAGACCTGGCAACTTAAAACTCACGCCAGGTGCATGTGTGTGCATGCCCAAGATCCCTAGAGGAGAATGGAGAAGAAGGGATTGTGGTGTGGCCATCCCCCCAGGGGGTGATATCTTGCTTTCTGTCTCTCTGTCTCTCTCTGTCCCTTCGGCGAGGACACATGCCCTATAGCAAAAATCTCTCTTTAAAAAAAAAATAATAATAATGGCCCCAAACATCCCAAATCTGAATAAATGGAAAAACAGATTCAAGAAGATCAAATAGGACCAGCCACATAGTCCAGTGGTTAAGAGAGCTGGATCTTACATGACCAACCACAGTTTGAATCCTGGCCTCCACAGCTTGAAAATTATGCAGGGTGAATGTACACGCACATCCAAAATCCCAGCAGGGTGGAGAAGAGATTGCAGCATGATCCCATTGCATGATGCTTTCTCCTTTGCCCTCACCCCACCTCTCATTCTGGTGAATGCATATAACCTTGAGCAATTTTTTTAAAAAAGAATATCAAAGAACTCCTACTAGAATAAATCCAAGAAAGTCACATAAAGACACATTATAATCAAATTGTGTAAGTCAAAGAAATTACCTTGAAGCAGTGATAGAAAAGCAATTCATCACGTACAAGGGCACTTCCATGAGATTAACAGCAGATTTGTCAGCAGAAACTGCAGGTCAGAAGGGAATGGCATGATATATTAGAAGTGCTGGGGTAGGTGGGGGACAGACTGATGACCAAGAATACTGTTTTTGTTTTTTGTTTCTGAGAGGTTTTTGCTATAGGGCATGTGCGCTCGCCAGACAGACAGAAGAGAGAGACAGAGAGATAGAAAGCGAGAAATCACCCCCCAGGGGGGATGGCCACACCGCAATCCCTTCTCCATTCTCCTCTCAGGATCTTGGGCATGCACGCACACACACCCGGCGTGAGTTTTAAGCCACCGGGTCCGGGACGCGAGCCGTGGTCGACTACATGGGAGTCCAGCGACATAGCCATTACGCTAACTGCTGGTCCCACAACCAAGAATACTGTATCAGGGAAAACTGTCCCAGAAAAATTAAAGGGAGTGGGGCTGGCCCCATACCCTAGTGGTTTTGTGAACCAAATCCCAAATAGTTGACTATGGTTTCAATCCTGGCCCTAGCAGATTGATTAACAAGCTGGGCATGTATTGTCTCTGCATACCCAAAATCCCAACGGGATGGGGAAATGAAGGAGAAAGAATTGCAGCATTACCCCAATCTATCAGCGGGGGTCGGGAGGCAGGGCAGTGGATTCTCTCCCTCTTGCTCTCTGTCTCTTTCTGGCAAGTACATGCACCCTCTGGCATGTAAAAAAGTTAAGAAGAAATTAAGAATTTCCCAGAAAAACAAAATCTGAAGGAGTTTATTTTCACTAGATCTGCCATACAAGAAATGCTAAAAGGAGTCCCTCAAGTTGAAATAAAAGGACAGTAGACAGCAGCACAAAGTTCATATAAAATGTAAGTTTCTCAGGATTGAAACAACTTGGCAGGCTCACAATGACAATCTGTCAAGGGTTGAAAAGTAGTTTGTCTGAAAGCAGATTTTAAAAGCAATTTCTCTTTGAAATAACTTTTTTGTATTACCTAAGAAGCATCTTGATACCATGGCAGTAGCAGCGATAAAATGGGTGATATCAAAGACAACTTTGAAGCATCTCTTTCCAACCTAAAATGGAGCTTCATATTGTGTTTGTCATATATCTACATATTCTTCTCTTCTAAATGACTATAATTGCAAAGTGGAACTTGCTTTGACATCTGATGGCAACAATAGTAGCTACCACCCATCTGTGGACATTCCATATGAACACACGAAACCTATCCCTAGACCAGATCTTATGCATAATAATGAAGAAACACGTGACCAAGTGCTGAAATCCAGATTAGAAAAGTGAGCACTGTGAGCAAGGACCCATGACAGAACAACTTAGCGAAATGTCCTTCACTACCAAGAATCATTGGTATCCTCACGGACAGTATCACAGACATCGTAAGAAACTGGACCCTCCAAAAGACAGATAACATCGAGGTTCTCAGAGGAATCAGAAATGTGCTTCATTTGTCATCTAAGAAAACCCTATGTGGTGTATTCACTAATCGCTTATATAATAAAATAATAAAATTTCTTTTACTATATATATTATATATATGTGTGTGTGTATATATATACACATATATATGTATCTTGTATATATGTGTACATATACCTGTATATATATAGACACTCGCATATATACATATATGTGTATATATGTGTGTATCTATATACACATGTATATATGTGTGTATATATACGTATATATATACATATATACGTGTATATATGTATTAGTATATATATATACATATATATGTGTATATATGTACAGTATATATATATACATGTATATATATACATATATACGTGTGTGTATATATATATATATATATATACACAAGATTCTCTGGTAAAGGTAAAAATATGGATAAATACAAGGGGATTTCAAAAAGTTCATAGAAAAATACAATAAAAATGAGTTATTTTGCTGCAAAAAATTTTAAAGTCACACAGTTTTCTTATAATAGTTATTTCCATGAACTTTTGGAAGATTCCTTGTATAACCTGTACTTCTCATTTAATTGAAATAGCAAAAACTTTATCTATATAAATCTATGCTAATGGTATATAATGTATAAGATTTAACTTATGACATCAATACCATGTAGTTGGGGAGTGGTTCTATAAAGGGGTAGAATTTTGGCATGCAATTGAAGTTAAGCTATTACCAGTTTAAAATAGAATGTGAGGAATCAGCAGGTAGCGTGGTAGTTCAGGCGCTGGATTCCCACATGGTGAACCGTGGGTCAAGTCATCCAAACAATTATGATAAATAAATAAAGAAATGTTTAATAAACAAATAATTTTTTAAAAATAGAATGTGATCAACTTTACACTATTCTATGTCATTGCAGTGGTAACTACAAAGAAACTATAGACTATACACAAAGGAAATGAGAAGGGAATCAAAGCATGTCACAATAGGGATCAGGAGATGGCATAATGGTTATGTCACTGGATTCTCAAATAGTTGACCATGGTTTGAGTCCTGGACCCAGCAGCTTAAAACTCCTGCCAGGTGTGGGTGCATGCGTGCCCAAAATCTTGAGAGAAGAATGAAGGAGAAGGGACTGTGGCATGGCCGTCCTCTCTGGGAGGTAATTTCTCACTTTCTGTCTCTCTGTTTTTCTCTGTCTCTCCAGTGAGTACACATCCTATAGCAAAAAGCTCTCTAAAAAAAGCATGTCACAACAAAATAATCAATGAAATACAAAAGGAGACATACAGAAAATGATTTTTAAAAAAATAGCAATAGTAAGTATTTCTCCATCATGAATTACTTAAAATGTAAACAGATTCAACTCTTTAATCAAAAGAAAAATGAGCTGAATGGATTAAAAAACATGCTCTTCTCCACCTTGGGGATTTAATTTGTTGCAGTCTCCTTCAAGCATTCTGCTGAGCCTGGATGTTGAGTTACCACTTATTTGTTATGACACAGGTATTAAAATTTCTTAGTACTGTATCATTTGTATGTGTTTGTGTAAATAAAGCATTTCTTTGGGACCAGCAGTTAGTGTAATAGCTGTGTCACTGAACTGCCATTTAGTCGACTGCCGTTCGAGTCCCGGACCCAGTGGCTTAAACTCACGCCAGGTGCGTGTGCATGTATGCTCAGGATTCTGAGAGGAGAATGGAGGAGAAGGGATTGTGGTGTGGTCACCCCCCCCTCAGGGGTGATTTCTCGCTTTCTATCTCCCTGTCGCTCTCTGTCTTTCTGGCAAGTGCATGCGCCCTATAGCAAAAACTTCCAAATAAATAAATAAATAAAGCATTTCTTTGATTTTAAAAAACCCACATGATCTAATTACATGCTGTCCATGAGTAACTCATTTTATATCTAAGGATATGCATAAGTTGAAAGTGAAGGGATAGAGAAAGATATTCTATGCAAATGATAAAATATTAGACAAAATAGACTCTGAATAAAAAGGGGTTACAAGATACAAGGAAGGACATTGTATGATGGTTAAAAAAAAAAGTCAAGGGACCAGCAGTTAGTGTAATGGCTATGTCGCTGGACTCCCATGTAGTCGACCATGGTTCATGTCCTGGACCCGGTGTCTTAAAACTCACGCCGGGCACGTGTGTGTGCGTGCTCAAGATCCCGAGAGGAGAATGGAGGAGAAGGGATTGCGGTGTGGCCATCCCCCTGGGGGGTGATTTCTCGCTTTCTGTCTCTCTGTCTCTCTCTGTCTGTCTGGCGAGCGCACGCGCCCTATAGCAAAAACCTCTCCAAAAAAAGAAAAAGAAAAAGTCAATTCCCCTAAAAAGATACAGCAATCGTAAATATTTACATGCCAAACATCCGCGTTCCCCTTTTCCATTGCATTTACCACATGCTAACATCCTATATAGTACAATTATTGTTTTAAAGAACTATGTATTTTATTTTATTTTATTTTATTTATTTTTTAATTTGCTATAGGGCACATGCCCTCACCAGAGAGAGAGAGACAGACAGCGGGAGGGAAAGTGAGAAAGCAAGCCACCAGGTCTGGGATTCAAACCCAGCCAGCTATGTGGGAGTCCAGTGCCTTCACCACCACACCACCTTCTGGCTCCTACAGTACATTTATTTATGATGTTTTTTGTCAATCCCCCCATACACATGAAGGTGAGAATGTTTGCCTCTTTTGTTCATTGATTCCCAAGAACTGGAAGAATGAAATTTTTCAGTAGAAGTTTGCTGAATGAACAGTGCTATGTTATATGAGAGTATGAACAGGAAATTTCCAGAACATAAGAGAAAGAACACCAAACTTGAAGATGAGTGAGGCTTTGCAGTAGAGGTAAGACTTGTGCTAAGTCTTGTAGCAAATCTGAGTGACTGACCAAAAGACCTAAGGTTCTAAGAGCAAGTAAATGACAACTACAAAAACATAAAACACACAGAACTGCGAGTACAGAGGCATAGGACACAAGGATGGTACATATGGCCAGCTGGCAGCATGGTTCCACATGGCCAACTGTGCTGAGTCCTGGACCTGGTGGCTTGAAAAACATGCCAGGTATGTGTGCGTGCATGCCCAAAATCCCAAAAGGAGGGAGCGATAGGAAGGGATTGCGGTATGACCATCCTCCATAGGGGAGTGCTTTCTCACATTCCCTCTCTCTCCCTCCAGTGAGCACAAACACCCTCTGACAAATTTAAAAACAAACAGAGCAGTACATATGGAAAAAATGGAACATTTGGCAATAAATATTGGTTGTTGATAACTATTTAAGCTGGGTGATGGGTTCTTGAAGAATCATTATATTACCTTTCTTTTGTTTATGTTTTATTTTTTCCATAATACAAAGTTAAGAATAAACAAACTACTTTTTAAATGAATGTACAAAGACAAAAGAATAAATATTTTCTACACAGGGGACATGTGGTTAAGAGCCACATGTAACCACAGCCGAACTGGAGAAGCAATACGTGGTAGTAAAAAGATTAAATACATAAAAAGGAATATAGAAGCCAATATTTTATTTAATTGTATGTGACAACTCAAACTAGTTTAAGTGTAAAGGGGAATTCAGTGGTTCACATACTTGGGAAGCCCATAGGTGTACCTGGCATTAAAAAACAGCTATATCAGCAGGTCACGTGGTAGTTAAAGCACTGGACTCCTACATGGCTGACTGCAGTTCAAGTCCCTTACCTGGCAGCTTGCTTTCTTACTTTCCCTCTCTCTCTGCCTCTCTGGTAAACACATGTGCCTTACAAATGAAAAAGAAATAACAATAATAATAAGTTAATAATTCTAGGAACAAAACAGAAAAAGCAACTGGATCTAGAAACTTAACTAATGTCACCAGAGCTCTGTCTCTGTCTCATCTCTTTCTTTGCCTCTATTACACTTCATTTTTCAGATAGGCCTCCTCCAAGTAATGAGCAAGATAACCACTGATAGCCCCCACCTCAAATCCTCCCAACTTGTAACCCAAACAGAAAAACAAACCAACAAAAGTCCTTTCTCTTCCAATGTCTGTGTACAAATCTCAGAGAAAACTCATTGTCTTGACTTGTATGGTGCACCCCTCCCTGAAATTTCTGTGGTATAAGAAGATGGAGTAACATGATTGGCTCAAGTCTGGAATAAGTTCCAACAAGTGGTGGGGGATGGGATAGTGACTACAGGGAGTGAGAGAGCACTGAGACTGATAGTTTCACCAGGCCACGTGGGGCAGGGCAAGAAAGATCGTCCTAAGGAAGGGATAGTATCAGATCCAGATAACCAATATGTTCCCCCAAGGATGGCTACAATTGATTTTATAGATGGGGGAGTAGGAGAGTGGATTGAGGGGTAAGAGAGAATGAGGATAGGTAGAGAGGCCTTACTTTTCTCTCTTTCTTTCTTTTTCTTTCTTTTTTTTCTTTTTTTGAGACGTTTTTGGTATAGGGTGCGTGTGCTCACCAGAAAGACAGAGAGACAGAAAGCTAGAAATCACGCTAGCCCTATTATTATTATTTTTATTGCCAGAGAGCATGTGTGGTCACCAGAGAGAGAAAGATAAAGAGAGATAACGCACCCCCGCAATGGGGCATGGTCATACCACAACCATTTTTCCTCCATTCTTCCCTCTTACCAGAATTTTGGGTACTCATGCACACACACCCACGTGTTTTTCAAGCTTCTGGGTCTGGGATTAGAACCCTGGTTAGCCATGCAGCATTCAGCTTAAGCTCTATGCAAAGGGCCTGACCCAAGAAGGGATAACTTCTGGCAGAGCAGGTCTATATCAATGAGTTTTCTTCTATTGTTCTAGTTTCATTCTTTCTGCCTATGAAAAATAATGAGGACCCCACCCTAATGACTTTATCACACCCAAAGGCCCCACTGTGGGACACCGTGACGGCATTAACTTTTCACTTAACACTTTATAATACAACCACATCATGACACATGAACTTTTGGACGACATTCAATCACTGGCCACTAAAACCAAATTATAAAACATGAACCTTTGGGGGACCAAACACACTCAAACTGTAACAGGGCACTTCAGTCTTCTGAGGTTAGTGAGCAATGAAAGAGTTGGGGACACTAAGAAGTAGAAACAAGATCAAGACCCAGGATGAACACAGTCCCTGAGACTTATAAAGCCAATAGGAGTGTTGTACCTTCTGCTGTTTACCACACAACATTCTTTCCCTCAGAACAGTTTTACACACATCTTCTCTAAGGGTCTTTCAGTATATTTCAGCAGTATCGCGCTATTCCTTTAATGGTATGATCATCTGTAGCATTCACTGGCAAGTGCTCAGAACTTACATTTTAGGAAGGAGGAGACATGTCTGGATTACATTGGGCCAAAATACAAGCACTAGAAACCAGCTGTAGCTCAGTCATCTGTCTCCCCCATGAGCTTCACAAAAAAAAAAAAAAAAAAAGAAAGCCATTTCATATTCACATAAATAAATGCCCTTTTTCTTAGTGCAGGGCTCTCCTTTAAAAAGAAAGAACAAATAGCCAACACTGAAGGTCTACAAGGGCCTTTCCCTCCTGATGATGAATCTTCTCACCCTTTGTCTGTCTACACAAGACAAGAAATACAAGCTATAAAAAGTATGCTTGGGAACCAGCAGTTAGCGTAATGGCTATGTCGCTGGATTCCCACGTAGTCGACCATGGTTTGCGTCCCAGATCCGGTGGCTTAGAACTCACGCCGGGTGCATGTGCATGCTTGCCCAAGATCCCGAGAGGAGAATGGAGGAGAAGGGAGGCGGGCGTGACCATCTCTCCTGGGGGGTGATTTCTCGCTTTCTGTCTCTATGTCTCTCTCTGTCTGGCGAGCACACGCGCCCTATAGTGAAAACCTCTCAAAACAAAACAAAAAAAAGTATGCTTGGCTATACATTGTGGAAGGGAAAACAAGATAATCAGACCCCAATAGAAGTCCCTGACCCAGCTTTCCTAGGTCTACTACACAAAGTGGGAGAGAAAACTGAATGGGGTTCATAACTGCTCCCATTAAATGTGGACCAATTAATTTCCTGGAATCTGACTAATCTACTGAATTACCCCTCTCTGGGAAAAGGCAAAGACTAGGAGCAAAGGGGAGAGGGGAGCTAGGGAAACTTCCTGTTGCTCCTCAAAATGTGGGTCATGGACTGATTGCTTGTTAGAAATGCATCAACTTGGGAACCAGCAGTTAGCGTAATAGCTATGTCGCTGGACTCCCACTTAGTCAACCACGGTTCACGTCCCGGACCCGGTGGCTTAAAACTCCAGCTGGGCGCATGTGCGTGTGTGCCCAAGATCCCGAGAGGAGAATGGAGGAGAAGGGATTGTAGTGTGACCATCCCCCCTGGGGGGGTGATTTCTCGCTTTCTGTCTCTGTGTCTCTCTCTGTCTGTCTGGCGAGCGCACACGCCCTGTAGCGAAAAAAAAAAAAAAAAAAAAACAGAAATGCATCAGCTTGGGGCTGGCAGATGGCATGGTGGTTAGGGTGCTAGACTCCCACATGGCCGACTGCAGTTCGTGCCCTGGACCTGGTGGCTTGCTTTCTCCACTTTTCCTCTCTCTCTGGTCTAATTAATAATAATAATAATAAAATAATTCTTAGAGAAATAAAGAAAGGCATCAATTTTAGCTCTACTCTAGGTCAATAGAATCAGAGTTTCATTTTAGTAAATTATCTAGGCAATTTATATGCACATTAAAGTATAAGAAGCACTGAGTTTCTGACTCCTAAATCCATGCTTAAATTTTCTGTCATTAAATCTTTGCTCACTTGCTACAATTGTGCTCTCTATATGGTCAACAGTTAATAAAAGAATAATTTGATAAATTCTTGTTGGCTCCTTTTTAAGGAGCCACTTGAAGGAAGGAACCCATTTCTGGGAAGCCAGAACACATTTACCAATGAGTGGCTTCGACGAAGACAGAAGCACACTAAGAACAAGCAAACAAAACAATTGTAGACATTCACACACAGCTTTGCTGAGCAGGACAGATGAGCACAGTAAATCTCCTTTCACTCCATCCCCCTACCCACAATATTCTCTGCCTTCCTCATTCATGCTCTCCTTCATCCAAAGCTGTACTAGGCTCTTCTGCTAAGTTCTACATACAGGATAGTACCCCATGGGTGATATGTCTCCTGTAGCCCTGTCTTTGATGGCAAAATCTTTTTTTTTTTTTTTAAGGGGTTTTTGCTATAGGGCGTGTGCACGCGCCAGACACAGAGAGTCAGAGAGACAGAAAGCAAGAAATCACCCCCCGGGGGGGTGGCCACTCCGCAATCCCTTCTCCTCCATTCTCCTCTCGGGATCTTGGGCACACACGCACACGCATCCAGCGTCAGTTTAAAGCCACCGGTCCGGGACGCGAACCGCGGTCGACTACGTGGGAGTCCAACGACATAGCCATTATGCTAACTGCTGGTCCCCAATCTTTTTTTTTTTTTTTAAATTTGCTATAGGATGCATGCGTTTTTCAGGAGAGGCAGAAAGAAAGGGAAAATAAGAAAGCACCCCTCGGGGGGATGGCAGTCCCTTCTCCTTCATTCTCCTCTTGAGATTCTGGGCATGCATGCTGGGGTGTTTTTCAAGCCACCGAGTCTAGGACTCAAACCATTTAGTTGGCCTTGTGGGAGCCAGCTTAACCACCAAAACCACCAGCT